GACACAAAGACATGACCTTACAGATTGGAAGAATTAGCATCATCAAAATGGTCATGCTACCAAAAGCAATTCACAGATTCAATGCAATTCTATACCACACAGCCATAATAATTAAAACAGCATAGTACTGGTGAAGCAGGAATATGCCCTACTCCACTTAGATTCTGCTACTTTTCCAGGCCTGCTGCTGGGGGAGGCTGCCACTTGCTGGAGCAGAAAGTCCCTGCAGTGTGCTGTTCATCCACAGTAATAGCTATGGCTACACTGACCCCTTCTCAAATGATAAAGAATGCTATGCTATGGGGGATGGGATTAAAGTGCCTCACAGGACCTGTATAAAACTTCACCACTCCTGTAACTCAGGGCTCAGCCTTATGGGCTGATTCCACTGAGCCCGCCAGTGTGACAAGTAGATCTCTCTCCACCTCTCTGAGTGCTATCTGATTTCTCTAGGAAATTGCCATAACACTGGAACAGAAACAAACCAACAGAGTCAAATTAAAAACCCAGGGATAAAGTCACACATACATGATCAACTAACTCATGACAAAGAGTAAAGAATGTGCACTGGGACAAGGATAGTCTCTTCAATGAATATTGCTGGGGAAATGGCCTGTTACATGCAAAAGAATGAAACTAGACTTCGACCTCACACCATACACAAAACCAACTCAAAATGGATAAAAGACTTGAATGTAAGACCTGAAACCTTAAAATATATAGAAGAGGACCCTTCTTAAGCACAGCACTAAGAAGCTAAAGCCACTTCAGCATGAGTTTGATCCCTGCCCAGGGGGTGACCCACAGGGCACAGCAGACCTCTCCTGACCCACCCGCTGCTCCCCTCAGCAGTGTTCTTCATCAGTTCTGCCTGTTCTGCTCTCCACTCTGTCTCTGGTGGGTCCTCTCACCCCCCACACCTCTGCCCTGTACCCCACTTCTGTATGTATAAATAAATCAATCTTTAAAAAATATATATAGAAGAAAATATAGCAAAACACTCCATAACATACACCTTAGAAATGTCCTTGATAACTCATGTCTAGAAGCAAAGAAAATGAAGGAAAAGATAAACAGCTGGGACTATATTAAACTAAAAGGTTTCTGCACAGAAAAAAGAGTAACCAAAATAAAGACACCCTACTGAATACGAGAAAAATATTTTCACTCCACACAAGTGATAACGGACTGATATAAAAGATTTACAAAGAGCTTACACAACTCAACAAAAACAAAACTAAAAATCCAGTCAAAAAAATGGGTAGAAGGGCTAGAAAGACAATTCTACAAATAGGAAATGCAAATAGCCAACAGTTATTTGAGAAAATGTCCAACATAACTTATTATCAGGGAAATGCAAATCAAAATCACAATGAGATACAACCTCACACTTGTGAGGATGACCCATATTTTAAAAACAACAACAAAACTCTGGCAACAAGAAGTGTTGTTGAAGATGAGGAGAAAAAGGAGCCTTCTTACACTGCTGCTGGGAATGAAAGGTGTGTGGTAGACCCCCAAAATACTAAAAATGGATCTACCATATTACCCAGCAATTCCACTCCTAGGAATGTACCTAAAGGACACAAAAACATTAGTTCAAAAGGAAACCTGCACCCCTATGTTTATTGCAGCACTATTTACAATAGCTAAGATATGGAAACAACTAAATGCCCAAAAATACATCAAGAAAATGAGGTCTATAAATACAAAGGAATACTATTCAGTAATCAAAAAGATAAACGTGTGCCATTTGCAGCAACATGGGTGGAGCTGGAAGGCTTGATGTTAAATGAAGCAAGTTAGAGGGAAAAGGAAAAATATCAGATGATTTCATTTATAGGTGGAACACAGGGAAATGAAACAAAGGGTCAGGAAAAAGACAAAACTTGCAGGTAAGCTATAGATCTGAGGCATACAACAAGGGAGGAACACAGAGGGGACGGAAGAGCACAAGGGACTATGGTTGAAGCTCCAATCCCCAGTACTTTGTGTCACTAAAGAGGTCAATAAAATACATGAGGTCATGTATGTGGGCCCTAATCCAATACAACCTGACCAGTTATCCTTAAAAGAAGAGATTAGGACACAAGGAATGAGAGAACACCTTATGAAAATATAAGGAGAAAGTGGTCATTCTCAAGTCAAGGAGAGAAGACTGAAATAGATTCTTCCTTCAGCAAAAGAAAACAAACCTGCTGACACCTTGATCTTAAATTTCTGTCATCTAAAACAACTAGTCTATGTGTTTTGTTATGGAAATCCTAGCAAGCTAATACACACTGCAAACTGATCTATAAATTCAATGGAATCTCCACCAAAGTCCTAAGTGGTTTCTTTGTACCAATTGACAAGTTGATTACATTCTTGTAAAAATGCAAGAAAATCAGAATATATATATATTGTTTTTTAAAGATTTATTTATTTGTACATACAGAACTGGGGTACAGGCCAGAGGCTCAGGGGTGGTGAGAGGCTTCACCAGAGACAGAATAGG